AAAGAAAATTTCAGTTAAACACCAAGAAACAAATAAATTATTTATACCTAAATAAAAAAAAATTGCTTTTAATCAAAATAAATTCTCTTTGAATCTAGGAAAAATTAATTTTCAATCGAAGAAACAAGTCAAAACAACTGATTTCTTTAAATCGACAAAAACTTTTTCTTGCTATAATTTTTCTGTATATGTAAAATATGTTTGTAATTTTCTACCTTGAAATTGTTTCATATTTGTCGAAGTAAAAAAAAATTTGCAAATTATCTTCATTTTCATTTGTATTTTTTATAACAATGGTAATATTAAAAATTTTCGAGACTAAAAATTGTAATATTATTTTATTTATAAAATTTTTATGAAATTTTTATTTATAAAAAAATTGTAAAAATTTAAAAAATTTAAAAAAATTAAATATTAAATAATATTATTGTTGCTAATAATATTAATATTACTGTTTATTATTACTATTGTTATAAAAAATTTAAAAAAAAATTTTCAACTTCTTCTCAATACGAAAAATATGAAACAATTTTGAGGCAAAAAATTGTAAAATATCCAATAAGTGAAGTAAAATGGAAACAGAAATTAAAAGTCTAGAAAGTATTTACTGTATATAAACGCACAAGCCTATAGGCAACCAGTCACACTTTCACGCAATTTCACAGCGAAGATATATACGAACTGATACGAACATAAAAATACAGAGTAAACGAGTAGAAATGAATAATAGTTAATTAACAATGTGAATTTTTGCCAAGTCCAGAGAAAAGTCATTATTAAACAATAATTAGTATTTTTCCCATCACCGAGTGCTATTTAATGATTAATTAATTAATAAATAAAATATTCGTTAATTACTTATTGATTATACATCCATTTGCTTTAATTGATCATAATTAATTTAATTACTGGAATGAAATTTAATTGATAATAATTTATTTAATATCCATTGGTATGTAATTAATTATAATTAATTTAATATCCATTGGTATGTAATTAATTATAATTAATTTAATATTTATTAATTAAATTAACATTAATTTAATTCATTATAATTAATTTAATTTATTATAATTAATTTAATTCATTATAATTAATTTAATATCCATTGAAATTTAATTGTTTATAATCAATTTAATATTCATTAGAATTTAATTGATTATAATCAATTTAATATTCATTGGAATTTAATTGATTATAATCAATTTAATATTCATTGGAATTAAATTGATTATAATCAATTTAATATTGATTGGAATTTAACTGATTATAATCAATTTAATATTTATTGGAATTTAATTGATTATAATCAATTTAATATTCATTGTAATTTAATGAATTATAATCAATTTAAAATACATATATTTGATTGATTAATTAATTTAATTTTTTATTTTAATTAATATTTAATTGACTATAATTAAATAATCCATTTAATACTTAATTGATTAATTAATTCAATATTCGTTAAGATTTGAGTAATAAATATCTATTCATTTTTAATTGTTTCATTAGTTAATTATAAAGTAAGAATGAATATTGATTTCTGCCAAATGGATATTTAAGTTTAATTATAATTTTCTCATGTGGAAATTCTTGTATTGGAAAATTAGATGAAAACGTATTAACCTTTTAAAAAGCGCTTATCAGTTTGTAGGAAAGTTTTGCGAAATAGTTTTTTTTTTTAAATTGAGTGAATTTATAATTAGTCTAAAAATAGTGTAAGAAATTAAAAAAAAGGCCACGGAGGAAAAGCGTAAAGTGCATTATTAATTTGTTAGTTGTGCATATAGTTTTTATAGCCCAAGGAATAAATTTGCTTTGGTGGAGAAGCTTATTTTTAGAAAAATTCTTTTTTTTTTAACGAAAGGATCGCGATGTGTCGAGGATTAAATTAGCATTTTTTTCTTTGATTTCCTCGTCGCAACGCGTCCTTTCATATCGAATGTCTGTGAAGTTAGTCGTCGTATTTTTTTATACATAATGTGCGTGCTACGGCGCGAGTCTATATTTTCGGACCGAATTTTCCGATCCTCCGTTCTCTATTATTTAAATGACATTTCCAATACACGAGTTCGTCCTATTTTTACGAAGTGCATTTTTATTCTTCTCTCTCTCTTTACTTCTCATTCCTGTCGAGGAATTATAAAATAATTAAAACAAATCGATAATCTATCGGAGACTTCATTTCTTTTTAATAAAGCAACTTGATTTCATTTCTAAGAATAGAAAAAGAAAAATTACTTCGCAATGCGAATATATAAGAAAATTGAAAGAAATAATGGAAATTGAGTGAAATGGATAAAATTAGAAAAAGAAGCTCTTTTTAATTACGCAGAGAATTTTAGTAAAGTCTAACAATTTAGAAGCTTAAATATTTTTTCTCGTAAAATTTATAGAGTTTTTGTTTGTTTTCTTGTCCAGCTGAAAAAGTTATATATAATTTCACTAGGATCATTCTATAGGAATAAATTCTAAAAATAAATAAATTAAATAAATTCTATAAAATAAATTCTACATGAATTCAACTAAATTTTAGTGGTTTTCAATTAAACAGAAAAAAAATTGTATATAATATTGTTAGTTGTATAAATTAAATTTTTTCTAAACTATAAAACATAAAGAAATCGAACACTTCATGCTCGATTTCTTCATGTTTTATAATAATTAAAAATGGCAAATTGATAAAATCATTATTTTATATTCTATGAATATTGTACTTCTTCAAAATTATTTTCAAGAATTTTTAACAAAAATTCTTCTTTAAATTAATTAATTTTCGAAAAGGCTCTCTGACAATTTCCAAATTCATTTATTTACAATATTCAATTTCACAAAATTTCAATTATTTGTAAATTCTTCAATTAAATATAATATAAAATTAATATTAATTATTAATTAAATAATATAAAAAAAAATTTTATTACACGTTTTCAAAAAAATTAATTTCAAAATTCAATTATTTCCTAAAATTCACGCTATATTGCTTTTAATATTCAATTATTATCTTAAATTTAAACTGAAATTCATTTTTAAATGAATTTATATTAGAAAATTCTACGGGAATTCAATTATTTAAATACAAAAATAAATAATTTATTTATTAAACAATTCAATGTTTCTTAAAATTAAATTCCCTTAAACCTTAAAGAATCGTTATCAACAAATTTTCAAATAATTGAATAATGAATAATTTATTGAATAGATGAATGTTTCTTAAAATTCAAAATTGTCATAAAGAATTTTACCAACATATTTTTAAATAATTGAATTCTTTCGACGATTTTTAATAAAATTTTTAAGAATAATTACATTTTCCAAGAAATTCGATTAAAATTCTATTAAAAATAATTGAAATTCTGGATTCAGTTTTATTGTTTATGAAAATAATTGAATTCCTAAGAAGAATTTTGCAATTTTTTAACATAATTAAATTTCTGCGAAGGATTTTATAGCTCTTGAAAATAATTGAATTTCGGAGAAGAATTTTATTACTTCTAAAGATAATTGAAATTTTGACGAGAATTTTAAAAATTTTTTGAAAATAATTGAAATTTTGCCAAGAATTTTATTAAAATTATTGAAAATGATTGAATTTTGGAGAAGAATTTAATTATTTCTAAAGATAATTGCAATTTTGACAAGAATTTTTAAAAAAATTTTGAAAATAATTGAAATTTTGCCAAGAATTTTATTAAAATTTTTGAAAATAATAGAATTTCGGAGAAGAATTTTATTATTTCTAAAGATAATTGAAATTTTGACAAGAATTTAAAAAATTTTTTGAAAATAATTGAAATTTTGAGAAGAATTTTATTAAATTTTTTGAAAATAATTGAATTTCGCAGAAGAATTTTATTATTTCTAAAGATAATTGAAATTTTGACGAGAATTAAAAAATTTTTTTTGAAATAATTGAAATTTTGCCAAGAGTTTTATTAAAATTTTTGAAAATAATTGAATTTCGGAGAAGAATTTTATTATTTCCAAAGATAATTGAAATGTTGACGAGAATTTAAAAAATTTTTTGAAAATAATTGAAATTTTGCCAAGAATTTTATTAAAATTTTTGAAAATAATTGAATTTTGGAAAAGAATTTTATTATTTCTAAAGATAATTGAAATTTTGACAAGAATTTTTGATCATAATTGAATTTTGGAGAAGAATTTTATTTCTTTTGAAAATAATTGAATTTCTGCAACATTTGTAAATTCTCTAAAATTCTCCACAATATATTGTACAATTTACGAACTTTTTGTCCTTTTTTAATAAAATTACGGACTTTACGGACCTTTTTTTTTTTAAAAAAAAACTGATTTTTACCGACTTGAATCAAATTTACGGACCTTTACAGGATTTACGAACCTAGTTCGAGCCCTGTAGTAACCAGACAATGATATAATGTTAAAAAAAATATTTCACGAAATTTATATTCTTTCTAATTAAAAATCATTAAAATTTAGTAAAATTCATGTATAAATTCTATAGAGTCGTTCTAGTGAAATTCTATAGAATATTCACTAGAATTCATATAGAATCATTCTAGTGAAATTCTATAGAACTTTTTCAGCCGGTATGATTAATTATTTTTTTGATTATAAAATCAAATTATTTATTTATTTTATTTGTATTTTTTTTCACTGATATCGCGAAGAAAATGATTTTTTTTATGAATAAGAAATGTGCTTCGAAGAAAAGAACGAACGGTGAAATTCGGAAGTAATTGGAGAGATCATTTTTAAAAATAGAGATTTGAGACGTAAGAGGACCTGGAGAACGAGGGCCGGTTTTTTTGTTGTTTTTTTTTGTTCCCCGTGCGTCACTTACTCTCGAGCTTGTCACAGTTGGTGACCTTGCCCTTCCAGTCGCAGGTTTGTTTGTCCAAATCAAAGGCCAATCCACTGGGACACGTGATTGGCTTCAGGCCGGATTTTGTACACCTGAAGGGGGAAAAAAGGAAAAGGAGCTTAATTAAAATAATAAATAATATGCTTCTTACTTTCGAGTGTATCGCAGTTCTTGACGTTGGTCTTCCAGTCACAAGTCTGCCTGTCAATATCAAAAGCAAGACCAGTTGGACACTTCACTGTGGCCAGCCTCGTTACTCCAATCTCAGATGCTTTGTCGCACCTAAAGTCCATAACTCTTACCTTTACTATCTCGTATTTTATGAGGAAATTCTTCACCTCTCATTTCATAACATTTTATTTTTTTTCTATTGCTTTTAAATTCGAAGCAAAATGGGAATTTTTTCTCAATTTGTTTATAACAATGAAAAGTGGAATCAGAGTTCTCGAATAATGAACAAAAAAATGGGAAAGTAAACAAATTTAAAAAAACTGAAAATATGAGAAAAAGAGTGAAAAAATAAATCTTGAATCTATTAAATTTCTATTTAACCGAAATTATATTTGGTTAAATTTTCATGTAACTTTGTTTCCAATTGGATGAATTATTAGTTAGTCGAATTTTTCTGCAACCGAATTTAAATTTGGCTAAATTTCCATTTGACAGTATTTAAAATTGAAAACATTTTTATTTTATTAAATATTGACCAAATTGTCTGAATTTCCATTCAACCGAATTCTCAATTAATCAATTTTGCATTTTACCAAATCACTATGTAATTAAATCAAATTTTACTTAACAGATTCATTTGATTGAATATTTATTTTACCCAATTTCCATTTGATGAAATTTACATTCGAATTTTTATTTGGTTAAATTTTGGCAAATTTTCGTTAAAAATTTGATCGAGTAGGAATTTTCAGGTGGAAAATCAGTCAAGTAAAAATTTCGTTAAATAGAAACTTCGTCAGAGGGAAAATCGGTCAAGTAAAAATGTAGTCGATTAGAAATTTCGTCAACTGAATAATCAGTGAAGTAAAAAATTTCATTGAATAAGAATCTAAAGAAAAGTTCAGGTAAAAATTTGATCGTTCAAGAATTTCGTCAACAGAAAAATTCGTAAAGTAAAAAATTTTATTGAATAAAAATTGCTACAAGGGAAAAATAGATAAAAATTCGGTCGATTAGAAATTTTGTCAAATAAAAAATCAACGAAATTTATTTCGCCGATTTTTTATTTGACAAAATTTGCTCGAAAACAAAATTAAGTCAAGTGAAAATTCAATTAAGTAAATATTTGGTTTAAATTATTCCTCTATAGAAATTCGTTTATTTCATTCAAATAAAAATTAGTCAAATAAATTATTCAGTAAAATAGAAAAGATAAAAATTTTCTACTTTAAAAATCGACTGTTTTTATATGATTTCTTCTCGTTGGGAAAAAATTGATTTTTTTCAAGTAAAATCAAAATTTTTCCTCTTCAATTTATTTTTAAATCGAATCAACGTGATCAATTAATTTAGAAAGCAAATGGAAATTATCTATATAATGATTGATACGTTATATATAGAAGGAGGAATGAAAATCTTCAAAGCTTATCCCTCAAAATTTACTGCAAACACATTAAGGAAATTGAAAACGTATTGGTTTTAGATTTTCGAATCGTGCTACGATCTGACTTCATCTCACGAAAAATTAAATTTTTATGAAAATTAGGAAGTCCAGACGAGTTTTAAGTTTGTTTCTCTATATACATTGTATCAAGGTTACCTTGTGGAATTAATTAAATTGGAAATCCTCTAATTGATAAATTATTCATTTAAGAAAAAGAAGATAATCAATTTTTACGGATACAGAGATTCGATTTTTGTTTTTAATGAATTCTGACGATTCAGGAACAGAAATTGAAAAAAGAAATGGAAGAAACTTGAAAAAAAGAAAAAAAAAAGAATAGAAAACGAAAATAAATAGATGGAAGGAAATAAAACGAATGATAGAGGGAAATGAAAAAAAAGGAAATTTAGATCAAAGATATAAAATAAAAATTTGAAAAGCTAGCTAAAAGGAAGTTGGAAAATATTTGGAGAAAATTTAAAAATATAAGAAATTTAAATTAAGTCTCGTTTGTAAATTAAGAAAATTGTATTTGATTTTATTTATAGACACAAGTTAACGTATGCAAGACGCATTATATCCGTTTCTTTACGCTGCATCCGGTATTTGATAGTGGAAACGTTATTTTCAGAGAGATTTAATATTCAGACAAAAGAGAAGATATTTCTTTTTTAATTAAGATTCCGATCCTCAATTTATTTTTCTCGTAAAATAAAGGGAAGAGAAAAAATTTCTCTTTGCAATATTTTGCAATTTAAATTTTTTTTTTTAAAGCCCAGTGAATTCTTTTTCAAAATGCAGTTGTAACTCTTTATCAGTTTTTATGACTCATTATTTTGTTTTATTTTTTTATTATTATTTTAATCCGTTTATTATTTTTTGTCCTTTTATTATTTTATTATTATTATTTATTCATAAACAATTCATTTTGCTTCCCCTCAAAAGAAGCTTTATTTCTTTATTATTTTGTTCTATCTTTTTATCATTTTGTTTTATCTCTTTATTTTAATATCTTTTGCATTTCTTTTAATGTTCCTTTGAAATTTTCGTTTAAACTCATTGCTTTTTTTTATTGCATTTTTATTTTTATTTTAACTATCGCGGGACCTTGAACATGTACCTGAGTCACTGGGGAGACTCATCTGACATCGATCTCGACTTTGTTTTAAAAGTCGATCGCCTTGAACCTAAATATCCTAACAGAATTGCATCCTGATTACTTTTCCTCGTGTCCTTTTTTCTAATTAAGTACATCATTTATACCGTTATTACAATAATTTTTCATGTCAAGTGCCGTTATTTACTGTTTAAAAATTTAAAAAAGAATTCTAATGAAAAAGAAATTATTAAATTTATTTTTTTAAAATTTAAGTTAGTTTTGAAATTTTAAATTATTTTTGAAAGTTTTTTAGTCTTTTAATTTTTAATTATAGAATAGAGTATGTTAAATACATTTTTTTTGGGTGGGAATATTTTTGAAAATTTTAGGAAATGAGTCAGTTTTCTACATTTTTGTTTTGAAGTTAAATTCATGTATTAAAATGAAGTTAGGAAAGGAAAAATGAAGTAACATTCTCTTTGAATAAAAATATAATTAAGATAGGAGTTTTATATATTTTACGAATTCTGTTAAAAGGGAAAACTGGTTTTTCTAAAAATACGGTATCATTATTTTGTGATTGAGAGTATAATGAAATTAAATTTAAAAACTTGATTGAAACTAATGTGCTCAGGTGTACTGAATAAAAAACTATGACCAGCGTTATTTTAAAAATATTCTACACACAAAGAATCTTAATATAATTTTTATTTATTGTAATTTTTATTAAAATAAAATATTAACATAATTATTTATAAATTCATTAAAAAAATTAATTTCTACGCATTTTTAATCTTTTTTTGTAAGTAAAATTATAAATAAAACTATGAATAATAATATTAGGAATAATATTAATAATTAATCGAAAATAACGAAGGATTTGAATAAAATTAATTTTTCTTTTTCTCATAAGAATTGTTTTATATGATAATTTATAATGTAAATCGTGATAGAAAAACTATTGAAAAAAAAACGGTGGCAAAACCAGTTAGGATAGTTTTAGTAATTTTATGAGAGAGTTCAATTATATCAACTGTATTCGCCTAGTTATTACTTTATGTAAGGCAGTTTGGCAAAAAAAACCAGACACACTTCTAGTCTATAAGATTCAGATATCCTTTACCAATACTCTACTACAGAGAATTACCGCTTTCAAACTATGGTGAAATTATAATTTTACATGACTTCGGTTAAATGGAAAATATTTGAGAACTCTGATTGCTATTCCATGAATCAAATTTACGCTTTTTTTTAATTTATTCCAAACGTGAATATAAAATTTTACAAAAAATTAATTTTTAAAAATTTATACATCAGTGATTTAAAATTATTAGGTATTATATTCTATAATTAAGAATAGATTCAAAATAAATAGAATAAATTATTGATAAGTAATAAATAAACAATAAGTTAATAATAAACAATACATAGATAGGTAATAAATAAACAATAAGTAAATATTAAATAAGTGAAAAAGTAAATAATTAATAGGTGAATATTAAATAAGTAAGAAATAAATTATTAATAAGTAAATATTAAATAAGTAAGAAATAAATAATTAATAAGTGAATAATAAATAATTAACTCTAAATTTGAATTAGTAAAAAACTAAAAATTTTTACTAATTTGAATTACTGACTGAGTTTTTGCTTTTGAATCAATAAATAACAATTTTAATAATAAATTAGTAGAAATTACTACTTATTACTAAAATTTACTAATCGAAAAGCAAAAAAGGCAGTCATAAAATTAATAAACATTTTTACTAATTCAAATTTAGAAAGAATAAATAATAATTCAAAGTTGCTTGAAAATGTTTAGAAAAAAATGATGTTTTTAATTATCGAAAGATAATAACAAAATACTAAAATAGATTAAAGAAAAGTACAATTAAACTAACAAATGCAAAAATTAAATGAAATTAATTAAAAAGTTAATTGAAAATTTACGTGTACGACTGAAATTTAATTAATTAAAATTAAAATTACAAGTAGAACAAAGAAACGAAAAATCTCGTTTGAAAAGAGAAAAAAAAATAGAGAAAAGAAGATCATAAAAAAAATTAGAAAAAAATTTAAATGAAACAGTAAAAAGGAACATGTATATAGTGATAATAAAAAAAAATGTATATACGATCTAAGTTTGAGATTTCAAAATCTCTAATGAAAGTTAAACAGTTAAGATTAGCTAATAGTTCTAATATATTCTCTTTCACTTTGTAGGAGAAATTAAAGTCTACTTTTAAGGCAATTTGGGACACAATATATGCAAGTCAGGCTTGAATGATATTTCAGTTTATATGTTTATATATATATATATATATAGATAGATAGATGTATAACATTTAACTCACCTCACAACATCTCGACAATCTCCATCTGTACTTAAACGAAAGTATTCATCCCCTGGCCTGTCGTGGCAGAGTTCTTCTGCAGTTGGGTCTCCACCTTCACCCCCATCGTCATCTTGGGCTCTTACTGTCACTAGAAATTCAGAAAAAAATTTCTATTAAAATCTGAAGTAGTTTACTAAGCCACTGAAATTATTTTATACGAAAAAATTATTCATTTAGAATTTTGAATTTTAAAACAGCCATTGGTATATAATTTATATTAAGTATTAATAATAGTAATAAATAAATTGATAAAATGATAAATAAATGAAATTTTATATGAAACAATTTTTTTTCTCATAGAAAATTCTCAACAATGAAAATTGATCTAGTAAAAATCGAAAACTTGTTAAAAGTGTAAATTAAGTAGGTACTTTTATAGAGGGGAGAAAGTGCAAGAGGTTTGATGACCTATTTATAATTGTATTTGTATACATTATACATAAATTTATGTAAGAAGTTGAATTCAAGGATTTTTTCGCGACGAGAAATGTATATACGTATATAAGAATTAAGATGATTTGACAAAAGTAAGTGAGAGATAATAGCATTGAAAATGGAAAAAATATGCACACATTTGCAAAAGACGTAAGAGAGGAACGCGGAGGTCACCGAACTCCCATAGAAGTAGAAAGTCTTGGAAATGTCAGGGCAACGGGGGGAGGGAGGGAGAGAAGCAACAGTGGTTCTCTAAAGTAGGTTCTCTCTCGGCCTTTTCATCTCTCGCTATCGTCAAAGGTAATTCCTGTTTTCGTATTATCTATATACTTAATTTCTGAAATTTCCAATTATCCTTTGTCTCGAGTTTTTCCATTCATGCGGAAATCTCTTGCTCGTCGTTTTCCGCGATTGTCGCGCAACAATCGCGTGAAACTGTCTTGTCTTCATAAGGGTTGTAATTTGTTTTTTTCCTGTTTGTGAAAATTGTCTTTTTGGTATTTTGGTAGAAGTACGTAGAAGTACGAAAGTTTGATGAACAAAAAGAAAATGATGTGGAACTGAATAGAATACACAAAGGATCATAAACATATGGAAAAGATGATGATGTACAAAGTAAAAAAGAAAAGGAGACAAAAACTGATGAACAAGATGATAAGAATCAAGATGAAACAGTTGAAGAAGCACAAACAGATAAACAAGAAGATGCACCAAATAAAACAGAAGAAGATAAAAAACACAAAAGGATCATAAGCAAATGAAAAAGATGATGATGAACAGAGTAAACATGAGAATGATAAAGAAACTGATGAACAAAATGATAACAATCAAGATAAAACAGTTGATGAATCACAAACAGATAATCAAGAAGATGCACCAAATATAACAGAAGAAGATAAAAAAACTGATTCACAAGAAGATGATAATAAAAATAAAAATAATCAAAATGAAACAGTTGAAGAACATCAAGCAAATGAACAAGATGTACAAAATAAAATGTAGGAAGCAAACAAAATTGATAAACAAGAAGATGACAATCAAGATAAAACAGTTCAAGAACCACAAGTAAATAAAGAAGAATATGTTCCAAGTAAAATAAAAGAAGATGCACAAAGTAAAACACGAGATAAAAAATTGATGAACAAAAAAATAATCAAGATACAATAGTTAAAGAACTAAAAACAGAGGAATAAGAAGACGATTAACAAGATAAGACAGAAGAAGATAAATCATAAGAACAAGATAAAGTAGAAAAAAAATAAAAATCAGACGAACAAGGAGGAGATGCTAATGATGAACAAGATAAAACAAACAAAGAACCACGACCAGAGGAACCAAAGAAAGAAGTATAAAAACAAACGGAATAAGAAGAAGGTGATAGATAATAAAGAAAATCGGTGACATGAAAAGTAGTTTTAATAAATGTTCGTCTGTTTTTATTTTTGTTTCTACTTTAAAAAAAGAGAAAAGTTGATTTCAAGTTTAGCAGATGATACCACAACTTTTCTAAGGATATCAAATTGAGACAAAAAACGAATCAAAAGTGTTGCGAAGCAACATTTTGATTTGTTTCTTGTCTCAATTTGATATCCTCGGAAAAATTGTGTGAATAAAAGATCAAATGAAGCTAAAGGAGCACATTATAAATAATAAATAAATATAAATAAACAATGAACATTATTCACTGAACTTGAATTTATATCATCCTTTATTTTTGAAACGAAAAACAACATCCGCATATAACTGGACCCGAATTAGAGAAGATTTATTATTCCTTACTTGAATACTAGAGTACAATCATATAAGAAAGAGTTGCCAAACCTTGACCTATAACTATATATTATTGTTTGGTCCTCTCATTTATTAAAGAAGCAGAAAATAATTTCTCTCACTTAATACATCATTTTGCAAGTTCCATTCATTTTTCTTTTTACTCCTATAAAGAAGCACTTCCCCTTCTCTTTGCGAAGGAAAAAAAGAAATCCAAATTTTAAAGAATTCATCTATATTCCATTTCCTAATGTATACAAGAATATTTTATAAATCTTCATAATCAAGAAGAATAAAAAGAAAATAGTGTTCAACTTCGAAAGATGGAAAATGAAGTAAAAATGAGAAAAGAAAAAAAGTGGTCAAATATGTGAAGAGGAAAATCTATCTTCTTCATCATCAGTTTATTGTCAGACAGACAAGTGATCTTGACTATATTGTCTATTAAGTTTAACAAGTGAGGAGAAATATTGAAGACTTCCTTATTGAAGGTATAATAATGATTTTTCAATGTCATTTATGATGAATGTTTAGTTGTCCATTATGACAAGTTATTACGGTTATTAATGTTTTACAACGTAATTCGTCGTTATCTTCACAAATCGTGGCGTCGACGTTTGTATTAACAAAGGAGTGAAAGAAGTTATTATGCAGAACGAGCAAAAAATAATTATGGAAAAACTGGTTAATAGGTTTGAAGAATTTTTGTATTTTAAAGCAAAATGTATGTAATTCCTGTAGGCAGGGAATTTTTTTTTACCAATACGGATTAAATTAAAATTAAACTTTAAATTATTAGCTATTAAAATTGATAAAAATTTACATTTAATTAAAGTTATTGGCAATTAAAATTGACAATAATTTAAATTTCATTTAAATGAGGTATTCAGCAATTAAAATTGCTAATAAAGCTTAGTTATAATAGCTGTTTTATTGGTTAATAAAAGTAAAAATTAAATGTATTCTAATTGATCTAACACTGTGTAAAACAATATTAAATTAAAAAATTCAGTTTTAATTGAAAACCAATTTTGAGTTTTAAACATAAAAATTTTTTTTTTTTAATTTAAACAATTTTTTTAAATTAAAAAATCGTTTGTTTTCTATTTATTATTAAAAATAGGATTGCCAAATATTTATTTATTACAAATAATTTAATTAAGCTCAAATTCAGTTGACCTGAATTTCAATCTATAAAAATTATAAACAATACAAATTTGAAATTATAATCTTAATCAATCTCAAAAACAATCATTTTAAACTTCAAATTTGCTTCGAATTTCAATAGATACAAAGTACTCAGTCTGCATATAACTTTATTTAATTTTTTTATCACTAATTTTTAGAAAAAAAATCCAACTTTTCACCTATTTCATAAAATAACACTGATCCAATAAAAAAAGTCCTAAAAATTGAGAATCAAATTGACATTAAATATCAATAAAAATAATTTTGAAAAATAAATTCATAATTATTCAAAGGGTTCAAAGTTAAGTAGATGAAGTTCACAACGTTTATGATCAAGATTTAAGTAGAATTTATATTTTTTTTTGAAAGGAAAATAATAAACTTTTTGTTTAAAAATGTTGCTCTTAGAAATGTTGCATCAAGAAACTTTGTAAAAATTTTATACAAAAGTTTAGAAAAGTCTGCTTTAGAAAATACTTTTTCCTCTATATCTAAGATCATAAAAGTTGCAAACTTCATCAAAGTCACAATGAAGCAAAAATTTATTTGATTTAAATAAACAATTACCTACTTGTCTATATTAAAATAGATAAAATAGGTGAAATAAATGTTTATTTGTGTAAAATAATTTTTATTTAAATCAAATAAATTGTATTTGAACCAGTAATTTCAGGATTTGAATTTTTTGTATTTGAAGTAAATACGATTTAATTGCTATTTAAATAAAAATTATTTAAAGCAAATGAATGTTTATTTAATCCATTTTATTTATTTTAATAGACATTTAGTCGTTTATTTGAATTAAAGAATTTTTTTTTCAGTACTAGATTAAATAGTTCAAAACTTCAAAGATCACTAAAAGATCACACCTATTTAAATAATTTGGAAAAATTAAAAAATTTTAAAAAGTAATTTTAGTGCAATGTTACACCATAAAAAAAGTAATCTCATATTTTGAGGAAAAATCCTCTTCTAATATTCTCTCAATTTTTCCTCTTAAAACAAAAATATTTCATTTTTGAATGTAAAATATTTTTATTCGCTTTGGTAGTTAATAATGAAACAAAATAATTTTTTTGAGGTTCTACTGTCAAAAACATTGAACTAAAGTGAAATAAATAAATAAAGTTATTAATTAATGTGAGCAATTAACTATTAATCATAAATTATAATTATTTAATTTTTAAATATTTGTTCTATTGTAGCAGAATAACTTTTCTTGAGTTCATAACCATAATTGTCAAATAATATGCGAGAGGAAAATCCTATTAAGTAAAGACTATTATTTTTGATACAACACAGTTTTCTTTAAAGTATAAAGTTGATATACATTTTTGGTATCAATTCGTTGCAATATGATACTTTTAAGTTAACAGTGAATATGTTTAAGAGGAAAATATACATTCAAATTAGAGGAATCCGCATCAAAACAAGATTAATTTTTTTAGATATGTTTTTTATATGAAAGTAAATTTATTTAAAAAATAAAAGTAAATGATTTTATAAAATAAAAGTAAATGAGTTTTTTATAAAAAAGTAAAGAAACTAAAAGGTAAAATGAAAACGAAAAAAATCGTTTTGGAATAAATGAAAAGCGAGTCCAAGGGTAAAAGCAACTTGAAAACCTGTAATATCACCTGAATATCAATTGGATTTGGTGTATATGTCGTAGGCGAAAAGGAAAATTCGTCGTTTAGCTTAATGCCTAGGCTTTAAGCTAAACGCGGGCGAATAGGAAAATGTTCAAGTAAATGACAATTATTTTTTTAATCGCCTGAATTCGTTAGTCATTTTGCTTAATGCCTAGGCTTTAAGCTAAACGCCCAAAGAGCGCCAGGCGAATAGAAAAATTTGTATCGATTGATCAAGAATAAACATTGTAATGAAATTTCAATTATTAATAATATTATATTGCAGGTATTTTGAATTGAAAATCGTTTCTAATTTTTTGTTTATGAGTCTTTGTTTATTTTCTTTGCTTTTAAATATTCTTAGTTGACTTTTCAGTTGGCTTCAATTAATTACAATAAATTATTGCAATTTTGTGAAAAATATTTTTGTCTTTAATTTGGATTTTTTCTATTATATTACTAATTGAAATTTCATTGTTTATTCTGGATCAATTGATACAAATTTTTCTATTCGCCTGGCGCTCTTTGGGCGTTTAGCTTAAAGCCTAGGCATTAAGCTAAATGACTAACAAATTCAGGCGATTAAAAAAATAATTGTCATTTACATGAAAATTTTCCTATTCGCCCGCGTTTAGCTTAAAGCCTAGGCATTAAGCTAAACGACGGATTTTCCTTTTCGCCTACGACATATATATATTTATGTGTATGGTCTATATAAATTTATATGCATATAGTATATATATATATATAGTATATATTGTATATATAGTATATATAGTATATGTAGTATTATATATAAATGTATATGTATATAGACGTATATATATGTATAAACAGTGGATGGTCCCGGGGTGCTCGAAGAAGTGGTAGCGCAATCGGTGGGGTTGGTCAAAGGTCAAAAGGGGAGAGAGCGCGGTGAGTGGATTCAACTTTCGAACGTGTTACACGCGGGTAAGTCAATGATATTTTGTACTTACCGGCAAGTAGACAGATGAATCCAAAAAGAAATATAAACTTTGGCGACATGATCGTCGTCGTCGGCGGGACAGATTGCGTCTGGACAAGCCGCGCCCTCTCGCCCCTCTATATGTGCACCACCACTCCTTCGCCGATTCCTTGGAAGACTTTCACCTTCCGGATGGTGCTGACACCTATCTCGAGTAATAATAATGTATACAATAAAAATTGTTTATGCATTCAAAAGAAATGAACATCATCACCCAAAAATTGAAAATCATATATCGGGAAAGTTGTTTTTTTTCTTTCTCTCATCACTCTATAAGATGTGAGGAAAATTAGAAAGTTTATTCACTCTTCACTATATGTATTATATTACAATTCAAAAATTTTGTCTTTTATGTCTTGTATCTGTTTGATAAATCTCTCGGCGCGAAGATTGATGTTTTTTTTTTTGTCTTTTGAAGAAAGAATTCTTTTTTCTATCTTTTATGAAAGGGATTGATGAATGTTGGAAACGGGCCAAGAATAGTTTTAGTGGAGATGTTTGAGGAAATTGAGATTTTAATGATGAGGATCAACTTGAGAGGAGTTGTGTTTGTATGGACTGGGGATACTTTCGAACGAATTTATTTTATATAGTTTAAGGATATGTTTATAGATATATAGTCTATGGTTATGTAGTGTATGGATTAGTCTAAGGATATATAGTCTACGGACACATAGTCTCAGAATATAAATTTCAAGGATACAGAATTTCATTTCCTTTATAGAAAAGAAACAAGTAGATTCGTAAGCTATTTGTAAAACGTTTAGTAACGTTCGAAGAAATTAAGGAAACTCTTTCATTCTTTGTTTTTGGATAAATAATTTCCCTTCTTTTTTGTTGCAAAGTATTTTACTGAATCAAATTGCACTTTGATTTTCCGGATCAGTTCTTTATTGGAAAGATATTATGTCGCATCGATCACTAAATTTCGATAAACTTCATTAGATTTTCAAGAAGCAGAAGAAGCAGAAATAGAAGATGCTTAAGTAAACCTGAAACCTGACTTCTGTTTTTATTTCTATTTCTTTCTTTACTTTCGCTTTTCGTTCTGCTTTTACTTTTGTTGCTTCTTCTACATTAGATTCTACCATCATTTCTTGTTTTTCTATTATTTTTACTACTAATTCTGCTTCTGATTCTATTTCTTCTACTGCTGTTTCTATTGATACTTATATTATCTTTACTGGTACTTCTACTTCTATTTCTATTGCTGCTTCTACCATAGAATTAAAAGTAAAAGCAGAAGAATAAATAGAAGAATCAGCTGCTACTACTTTTACTGACACTTCTACTTTCATTTTCGGTTCTGTTTTTACTGATATTTCAACTTCTATTTTTGCTTCAACAACAGAAGTAGAAATAAATGTAGATGCAAAAGAATAAATAGAAGCAAGAGCAGAAGTAGAAGTATCAGCAGAAGGAGCAGGATTAAGAATATAAGAGAAAGTAGTATTAAAAGTAGAAGCAAAAATTAAAGAAGTAGCAACAACAGAAGCAGAAATAGAATCAAAATCAGTAGCAGAAGCAAAAGTGGCAAAGGAAGCAGAAGTAAAAGTAAGAGCAAAAATAAAATAAGCAACAACAGAGTTAGAATTAGAACTAAAATCGGTAGCAAAAGCAAACGTGGCAAAAGAAACGAAAGTAAAAGTAGAAGCAAAAATAAAAGTGGAAGCCTAAATAAGAGTAGAAGAATGAATAATAGTCGAACTATAGGTGAAAGTGGTAGCAGAAATATAAGTAGAAGCTGCAGTGGAAACAGAAGAAAAGAAAATTATAAATAATTGATAGAGGTTATTAATCAAAGCGAAAGTACTTCTTTATAACATGATAATACTAAAAATAATAATTACAGTAATTATAGTAGAAATAGTAATAATAATAATAGTAATTATAGTAGAAATAGTAATGATAATACAAATAATAATAATAATCGGTTTTTGAAGATAAAATGTGTAAATATTAAAGTTTTCGTAAACAACTGAAAGCGTATCGCACGAAGATAATTCGGCTGGACCGCAAGATGCGAATAAAAAAAGGAAGGAGCATAACTTACTGGCACGAAAGCGAGAGTTCGAAAGAAAAGGAAAAAAAAAGAAAGAAATGTCGACTAAAGGGGTATAAAAATAAGTGAAACTGACGCCTTTATGGTTACAAAACGTAAACAAGCATATAAACATTATACATGGAATTTTCTACATTTGGAAATACCTCCTCAAAATATTAGTGCAAAAACAGATAATTCTTTCACTTGCTAGAAATTAATAACAGATAATAATAATTATTAAAGAAAACAGTGCAACATGCTCCATTCCAAAGTAAAAATCAACCACTTTTCTAAAGTCTAAACTTTGTATAAAGTTTACAATCGATTTTTGCCTTTGAAACTAAAAATTGTAAACAAAAATCGACAAAAATTAGAAGATTTGGTCAAATGGAGAGCGTTGAAATTTGAGTCTTGCTGGTATAAAGAAACAATTTTAAAATGAGTAGATTTAGTCAAACAGAAAAGATAACTTTATTTCTGATCTCAAAGAAATGTTCGTGTAAAGTAAAAATTGCAAAGCAATGGACAGTGATTTAGTCAAAAGAAAAAGAGAAAAAAAAATACACATTTCTTGGGAGTTGCAGAAATAATTAAAATATCATTGCGGTTAAAGATCGATGTAATTCCTCATTTGATTTTACGGCCAAGTTGGATGAGGAGGACATAAATAATTGGTTATCTTTTGAAGTTTTGTGAAGATCTAGTGGCATTTTGAACGCGCGAGTCCTTGGCGCAAGATGCACGAGGAATGCCAATGGGGGCAACACACAACATTCTCACACACACACACACACGAGAATAAAACCGTGCCCAGAAACCAGTTTTTGTATTTCAAATCTATTTAACGAATAATAAAAAACCCTAAGCGATGAGGATGATTGTAATATATTCAAAAATTATAACGAAATGACAACGAATATTTTTTCTTCGATTTTGAATAAAACTGTTGCTATATATGTATTTAGAGAGGAATTCATTTGCGATAAGAGGAATACCTATTGACATCTATAGAAGGAATTGATCTTTCCCCTTTATTGCTGTGTGTGGCACTCAAGTTCGCGGCGTGCCTGATATGACGACATTCATTGTCTAAGCACTATGAATAAACGATTATATTACGTTTTTCCTATATACACGTTTACATTGGACGAATAATTATTCTCTTTCTTTCTTCACTTGTCAGGAAAAGTAATTCATTATAGGAACTGTTACTATGTATATTTATGTATTCTGAGTTTTATGAGGGAAAATTGAAAAAAATGTATATGATTAGGTAGATAAATCACATTTTTACCTTCTTATATGATGAGAATTCTAAAAGGATATTTTGCGGAAATACAGGAATTTTGAGAAAAATTATTTTTTATAAACTTTTCTTTAACATAACTAAAAACATTTCTAACATACAAAAGAGTTAGTTAGAACATACAAGTTCTTTAAAAAAAAGAAATGGAAAAAATATAAAAGTTGTATCACTAATAGTTTGTTTAAAGTAAATAAAAAATTTATTTACACTACCGACAACTATAAGTTTGAAATACAAAATTTTTATTTAAAATCCCCAAATTTTTTTCTCTGAGTGTATACACTGAGAGAAAAAAGTATAATTCGAGATTATCAAAAGTTTGTTCATATGTAAATATATATATTTACATATGAACAAACTTTTGATAATCTCGAATTATACACGACTCTCGATTTATAAGAATATATAACAGGACGTACGTATACATATATAAAAATGAGAATCAAAAATAAGAGAGAAAGGAAATAAAATAAAAAACCGGAAAAAGGGTTATAAAGAAAGAAGAAAAGACGAAAGTGTGTAGGTCAGTGTGCTAGCGGAGGACGGCGCCTGAAAGGCGAAGCATTTTAAAAGCAACTTCGGTTGGCAACTAACATTTATCGCACGAAGACACCCAGCGATCTTTTACAGATAATCCAGACACCCAGAGGTGCCAACCTGTTCCCTTCCTTTCAACACATTTTATACCGCAAAATGTATTTCACAATGATTTATATATATGTATATCAACTCTCTGCATGTATATTTCTCCTATTTCAACGCTCGGCCAAAATTCACCAATATAAACAATATTCAATTTTATGAAAATGCAGTATGACAGAAGCATATACGGCAGTAATAAGTAACGTAACTTTTGCGCTTGTTTTTCAAACCCAGAACATAGTCAGAAAAGTTTATAAAATTATGATAGAATGATTCCATATAAAATCCAGTGAACATCATGTAAACTCTCTCCAAATGTTCAAAACCTCGAAAACCCAAATTCCCGAATGCTCAAAACCTAGAAAATTCAAAGCCTCTAAAGTTCAAATCTCCAAATGCTTAAAACCTAGTAACTTGAAAACCTCGAAATCTCAAAACCTCGAAAACCCAAATCCCCGAGTGCTCAAAATCTAGAAAATTCAAATCCCCGAATGCTCAAAACCTAGACAATTAAAATCCTCCAAAGTTCAAACCCCGCATGTTCAGAATTTTAAAATCTCAAATCTTTGAATTCTCAAAACCTAGAAAATTCAAAACCTAGAAAAATTCAAAACTTAGAAAATTTAAAACCTAGAAAATTCAAAACCTAGAGAATTCAAAACCTCAAATATCCAAATACTCGAATGCTTAATGCCTAAAAAATTAAAAACTTCGAAAACCCAAATTCCCGAATGTTCAAAACCTCGAAAGTTCAAAGCTTCGAATACTCAAAACCTTGAAAAAATTGAAACCTCAAAAGTTCAAATCCCCGAATGTTCAAAACTTTGAAATCTCAAATCTTTGAATTCTCAAAACCTAGAAAATTTAAAACCTCGAAAACTCAAATACTCGAATGCTCAAAGCCTAAAAAATTTAAAACCTCGAAAACCCAAATTCCCGAATGCTTGAAACCTAGAAAATTCAAATCCTCGAAAGTTCAAAGCTCCGAATGCTCAAAATTTAGAAAATTGAAACCTCGAAAGTTCAAATCCCCAAATGCTAAAAGCCTAAAAAATTTAAAACCTCGAAAACCCAAATTCCCGAATGCTCAAAACCTACAAAATTGAAAACCTTA